GATTTCAGCTGAAATAAAACTTGCAGGGATCAAAAGAGTGGTTTTTATGGGATGAGTAAGGCAGTGGGTGTCATCCTCTTCCTCCCCAGTTCATTTGGCCACCGCCAATGTTTATTTATTTTTATCCCTTTAATATGTTACAGATTACTCAAGATGACAAACATATCCAGCACGCCTTTTTCCTATTTACCCAAAGTCACCCAGTTGATTTTCATGCCTAAGGTGGAACTAGAACTCACAATCTCCTGCTTTCTGGCTTTATAATTAAATGTATATGCCACCCAACCCACTCTCCAAAGCAACAAAGCAAATGTCTTTGGCTTGCTTCCATCTGTCTCCACTCACTTACCTCCCCCAAAGCACGTATTTCTGAAACAACCTTCTTTGAGTCCGTATCCTTAATAACCCTTGGTCCAAATATGCATATTTCGTTCGATTCAAAGCCATAAACCTGGATGAAGCAGATAAATTAAGAACTATTTTGCACATCCCTAATTGCATGATTTTGACCTGAACGTCTTCGAAGGTTTCGCTTTTATATCTTTAGACATCATCTTCTTTTTGTAGATGCGTTATTATTTCTGTTGATAAGAATTACCTCTCACATTTTCACTGTTAAAAAAATTATAAAGAATGGAAGCACAGGATGGCTGAAACAGCTTCCCCATCCTCAAAGCATTATGTAATTGTACAGTATGTGCCGAATAAATATATTTAATCTAGCCTGTTACACACGAGATTTCATGTGTTATATTAAGCAGCCTCGTGAGGTTATTCCGCAGATTGCTTACAGCATAAAATGCAAAACTGTCTTTGAAAAGGCAGCAACATAAAATAAGCATTTTCCACGCAAACCCCTTCAGGGAAAGTAGATGAATTTCAACAGAAGATTATCGCCTCTCATTGTAATTCTACATCCTCTACTTTTGTGAGCAATTTGTTTTTAAGTCACTTATAATTCCAAAATTTTAATCCGCCGAGCAATGGGGCCCATAAATTTATTTTTCCTCACGCCAAACGCTCTTAACAATACATGGAAAACTTATTTCTGTCCTCCAGCCTTCAGTTTCCACATAATAGGTATGTAATTTGAGAGAACACAGATCTCAAAAAATATTAAGCTTTGTCTCAGTCAACTGATTAGATGTCAAGGCTTCTTGGCAACATTAATAGCATCAGAGGACAGATTGAAAAAGAATTTTAATGAGGGTGTTATTCAAATGCAAACTCAATCAATAGTGAAATCCAGATTTATATTCTTGTATCTCCACTTCTCAATTCCAGGATTGAATAGATCTGATCCAGTGGTGGGATTCAAATTTTTTTGACTACCGGTTCTGTGGGCGTGGCAGGGGAAGGATACTGTAAATTCTCCAGTCAGAGGTGGAATTTGCCGGTTCTCCAAACTACTCAAAATTTCCGCTACCGGTTCTCCAGAACCTGCTGAATTCACCACTTCTGATCTGATCCTCTTCTGGTTTTTGACGGGTTGAATTGAATCCTTGACTCTTGTTTTGTTTTTCAACATTTTATTAGTTTATCCAAATGCAAAATACAAAGAAAAAGGTAAGTAACGAGAAAGTCAGAGAGGAACAAGGGAAAGGAAAAAGAGTCGGGTGAAAGGAAAAAGGAAAAATAAGTGTGGACTTCCAATTCTTTTTAGCATGGTAGAATAAGGTAATAGCATGCAGCCTCACCTTTTTTTTACTTGGCATGATAGCCCTCAAACTTACGACTACAACTGAGCTCCAAATTTCTGCTCTTAAATGAGACATTTGTTAAGTGAGTTTTGCCCCTTTTTACAGATTTTTCTTGCCAGTGGTTAAGTGAATCACTGTAATTAATAACATGGTCCTTAAGTGAATCTGGATTCCCCATTGACTTTGCTTATCAGAAGGTCATAAAAGTGGGTCATAGGATCCTGGGACACAGGAACAGTCATAAATATGAACCATGTGTCAAGAATTTTGATCACATGACCAAGGGGACGCTGCAATGGTCATAACTGAAAAATGGCCATGTCACTTTTTTCAGTGCCGTTGTAACTTTGAACAGTCACTAAACGAACTGTCAAGGACTACCTGTACTATATACTAGTCATTTCTATAACCTATCTAATCAACAAAAGCCAAAATAAATGTTGCTTTTCTTTCCACCTCAAGCACAAAGTCCAAAAGTGGTTTCCAAGCAGAAACAAAAATTAATTGTATTCTTTTATTTAATCAAAGCTGTCAATTTAGCCAACTCTGCTAATTCCAGAAGCTTTTGCAGCCAATCACCCATGATGGGAATTAAGATATCTTTCCCATTTGTACATAGAAAAGAACAGAATAAAATATTGGAATGACAAATAGAATGGAATGGAATAGAATAGAATAGAATAGAATAGAATAGAATAGAATAGAATAGAATAGAATAGAATAGAATAGAATAGAAGTACAGTACAGTACAGTACAGTACAGTACAGTAGGAATAGGAACACAACACAACAGAATAGAACTAAAACTAGAACTAGAATATTTGAATGAAGAGTAGACTGGAACAGAGCAGAGCAGAATAGAATACAGAGCAGAGCAGAACAGAACAGAACAGAATACCACACAATACAATACAATGGAATAGCTTTATTGTCACTTTGAATGTACACTAATTGGCATACATTAAAATGAAATTTTGTTTGCATGCAGCTCTCCAAGGATCACCACCTCCAATATACACTACATGAACATGACTAAATAAATAAATAAATAAATATGTACCCACGTATGTTGTATGACATGGAGAAACAGCACAGTCTATTTTGGATGTATGCGTGTACATGGAAGTAGGTGGAGCGGGTGCCATTTTGTTTCTCATCCAATTTCGGAGCCAACCTACCTGGACCATCTTCTCTCATCCTACAGTGGTGCATCTTTTCTCACGCTGTTCCCTCCTCTGTGCTTCCTCCCTACAGGCATGACCATGGATGAAGTCCGCTTATATGAGAAGGAGACCCAGCAGGCCACCAATGAGATTGTGGGCATCATGACGCCCACCATCTCCATCAGCGAAGTCCAGCTGCCCTCCAGTACTCAGAGTGCCCCCTCCAGTGCCCCCTCCACGCCACTCAGTGGAGAAGCCCCCGAGTTCCTCCATGTGCCCAAGGACCGCCAGAGGAAAAAATCCGCTCCAGAAATGCTCTCGCTGCCAGTGCTGCGCGAACATTCCAACCTGGAGTAACAACCGCCTCATGTACAGAGTCCCTATTCTGATCCTTGCAAAGGAGGCTCCCTAATTCATTTCCCCAGAAGAGGATCCGGTGTCCCTGATGTTTTTTTTTTCTCTAAATTGTTCTTTAATTCCAGGCCTTGCCTTGTATCCAGCAAGAGAGAACTCCCGTTGATGGGGGCAATTGTTAAATGGTGTGGGTGCCTTGGGAGAACTTGGGGGATTCCACCAGATCTTGGAAGCAGCTGTAAGCCTTCTGATCTGTTCCCAGGTCCTTCAATATCACATTCCTGGCCATGTCTATGTTGCCTTGGGCCAAAAGGGTATTGGGGGGGGGGGAGCATACCATTGGACCATTGCTTGGCCTTCTAGCCTACATGACTCAGCCAACCAACATAAATTGGGATCTCCTCTCTCTGTGCAGGGGGAGGAAGCATTGGGCGTGGCTCTGTTGCAGATGGAAAGCTGGTCAACCTAAATCCCATGCCAGAAAATCCACCCTGGAAATAGATCTGTTGTGAAGGGAGGCTAATTCCCCATTAAATCACATTTTCTTGCCTCTCGCTTTAAGGAAAGGCAATTATGCGTGTGTGTGTCCACATATGAGTTATATCCACAATTAGAGAGTACAAATAATCCAGATGCTAAAAGCTCCGTTAAACTTACAGCGATGGCTACGTTAGACAGTCTTTAACAGCCATAGTTCAGCATAGTCTTCTTGCACCAGCCCTGCAAAAAAAGTGTCCTCTGAAGCTACCCAGAGGTCTTCCATTGAAGTTCACACCTGGGTGCAGAAGAGATGGGGTGAGACCTCTGGGGAAAATGCCCTGCCTCTTTGTTGAAGCCAACTGTTTGCCAGACAAGAGGAAATTGTCAAAGGAAGAGAGGACATCAAAGGAAGGTGGGTAGCCCCAGCCATCACTTCTTCAGGGTGGCCGTTTTGTGGGCCCCAACAATTTACTTTTGATCTGCGTTCTCCCACCCACCCACCCACAATTTTAAAGCAAAGCAAAGGCTGAAAGGCATTTTCACCTTGTACACTGGTAAGCCACTTGACTAAATGCTTTCCTGCTGTTTCAAGCAGGTAAAAACCTAGTTAAGTTCCCTTCGCATGCTGGTCAGCTGCATGTTACCATTGAGAGTCATGGTGGCACAAGGGTTAGAATACAGTATTGCAGGCTGCCCAATGCCAGGAGTTCGATCCTGACTGGGTCACGGTTGACTCAGCCTTCCATCCTTCTGAGGTGGGTAAAATGAGGACCCATATCGTTGGGGGGCAAGAGGCTAACTCTGTAAACTGCTTAGAGAGGGCCGTAAAAGTACTATGAAGTGGTATATAACAGGGGTCCCCAACCACTGGGCCCTGGACCGGTACTGGTCCGTGGAACATTTTCTACTGGGCCGCCGGTTTGCTGGGTGCTGCCATCTTGTTTTGGTGAGAAAATGCTTCTGGTGAGCTTTTCCGGTTGGAAAGTGGTGTTTGGGTCCTGAAGGAATCCTCGTGCCTTAGTTTCATCGAAGGGGGGGTGGCTTCGAACAAAACTAAGGCGCGAGGATTCTTTCCGCACCCAAGGCAAGGCGAGCTGAGCGACCGTCCCAAAGCCGTCCCAAAGCGAAGCCCATCGACAAAAGGAGGAGTTGAAGGTGGCGGGGAGAAGCGGGGGATGGCTGGCTAGCCAGTCGCTCGGCTCGGCTGGCCTTGCCTTGTCATGCGTGCTGATGCCGGTACCGGGCCGCCGATCATTTTGTGATGCCGGTACTGGGCCGTGGCACAAAAAAGGTTGGGGGCCACTGGTATATAAGTCTAAGTGCTATTGCTGTTTGCCAATAACTACAACAAGTAAAAAATTGCATCAAGCATCTGAAATCCAAGTAAGTATTGCAGGCTCAACTGGCAAAGGATCGCTCAAAACCATGATGATTGGAAACATGCAGAAGAACAGGAATTCATCCTGCAGTGGATAGACAATAGCTAGAATAATGATGATCTGGAACCCATTCACCAATCTGGGTTGCACAATGACACATTTCTGGTTCTTAGGGGAGAAGAGATTACAAAGTGACATTAGCAATATCGCTGTGTTATTTCAGAGCAGGAATAGGCAAGTGACATTCTCCAGATACGTTGGACTACAATGAACAATGTGTTGACATTGGCTGAAGTTGATGGGAGTTGAAAGGCCAAACTTCTCCAGGTGCCTTTCTGTCACTTGCTTTAGAAGTTGGGTCATGGTAGGTATTTTAGAAGACCTGGGAAGTGCCTCTTTTCATTCGTGGCCTAACATCTCCAGGGATAATTCAGAAAAAAAAAAACAGCCTGAAGAACTTCCATAGATGGCAGAAGACCGCAACCGGACATGAAACTTTTGGGTCTAGTCCCAAAACGATGCAGAATGCAATACAGACAGGATTCCTCCTGATCATTCTGCAGCCAGAACTCAAGCCTTTCCTTGCTAACTAGCAGTTCTCAGGTGGATGAGAATCCCAACAGCCAGATCTTCAACTAAGGTGTCTTAAATTTGTGGGGTTCTCTTGGGTCTATTGGAGACTTCTCCAACACCATGCAGGCCTATAAATGCATCCTCTTGAGTCTTCAGCAATTCAAACCATCGAGTTTATTTCCATGGCAACTGATGGCCTCTTTTCTCCATGACTCGAGACCTTTTCACAGCAAAGGTACCTTCTGGTGGTCCATCAATAGGACCAAAGCATAATGCCTTGTGGCCAACTTTCCCACCATTGCTAACTGCCCTTACTATGAAAGGGGCCTCTGCTGTCCCCAATTCCATGGACATCAGCCTTTCTAGTCTTTGTACAAGCACAATTTGTATTTGCACTGTCGTGTGCAGAGACGGTCCTGCCTTCCCTTCTGCTGCATTAAGCATTGATCCTGTGTTTATGTGGGTGGGTTTGTGTTCCCTTTTTCTTCTCTCCCCTTCCCTGTAAGCAAGTTGAGGAGTTGTATCTTCAGTCCGCAAAAATAGGGAAGGATTCTAGAGGCAAGTAGAACAATAACACATTCACAACAGAGAAGCAAGAACTCAGTGTCTGAAGTTGTTCTCATGTACGTTTCTGGATTCCAGGGTCCACACGGGAAGAAAGCACAGTTGCGGTAGATACAGAATTGTTTCTGCTTAATATCTGTTGGAGGCCTTGTAGGTTGTCCAGATCTAGTCTCTTGACCTTCTGGTGGATGCTATACCGCCGAGCCCATCTCAATCCCCCTTACATGCAGATTTGGGGGAGTAAATGGTGAATCCTTTCAAAACTGTACACTTCCAAGATTTGAAGAACCCAAATATCAACCCGGAAGAAACAGAGACTCTCCTTAAAACCATTAGTAGCCTCTACTCTGCAAGACCTGATTAAGAATGAACTTAGCCAAGAGAAGAGAAGTAGGAAGAAAAACCCTGTAAATATTTTGTGATCCGTGTGGCAATTGTCTTGTATGGTTTTGCTTTTGTTTCGTTTTTTTTCCCCCACTAGGGCGATAAAGGCTGCTTCTGACAGAGAGCTGTCATGTGATTGTTGCATTGTTTTGACGCACCTGTGAAAGGCACGAGGCATTAGCAAACAACCGCTTCACCTCTCTCCTCTCTTGATAGTCACTATCTTCTCATTTATCTTCAGAGCTCACAAACGGTGGGGGTCATTCTTTGGAGTCCTTGTGTAGTTTTCTTAAGCTTTTGGCTTAACACAAGGTACAAGTCCAGCATATGGTGAATAAACAGCTGATTTATCACTTAGTACATGGGATGAGGTGAGAGGCGGTCACTGACAGTCTCTGGGAATGGCTTTTGAATCTGGGCTTTACTAGAATCTTTGGGTTCCAGGCAATCTTGACCTGAGGTCCCGGGGCCTCATTCTGACATCTAGGCGAGACCTGAGCATTTTATGGCTCACGGGCCACATCCAGTCCTTTGGCTGTGCTGTTTGGCCCACAGCAATGCCCCTCCATGGTAGTTCCAGTTTCTCATGCAGCCCCTTGGTGAAAATTAATTGTCCACCCCTGACCTTGACTAGCTGCTAATCCATTATTCCAATATGTCGGAACTTTAACAAGTTCAAGATATGCAATGGTGACCAGTGGTGGAATTCAAAAAAATGTTACTACTGTTTCTGTGGGCATGGCTTGCTGGGCTGGGCATGGCAGGGGAAGGATACTGTAAAAACTACATTCCCTCCCCACTCCAGGGGGAAGGTTACTGCAAAATCCCCTTCCCACCTCACTAACCTGCTTTCCAGCTCCCAGTTCCTGTGCAGGGCAACAAAAGAAGACCCAGCCAATCAGCTGGGACTCAATGGGAGGCAGAGAATAGATGGGGTTGGTGGGGTCAGTCGGTGGGATTTGCCAGTTCTCCGAACTACTCAAAATTTCCGCTAACGGTTTCTCCAGAACCGGTCAGAACCTGCTGAATACCACTTCTGATGGTGACCCCTAAACTGCACTTAAATGCAAACCCCTAAATGCACCGAAGACAAATTCCTTGTGTGTCCAGTCACACTTGGCCAAGAATTCTATTCTATTCAGCTCTACTCTACTCTATTCTACTCTACTCTACTCTACTCTACTCTACTCTACTCTACTCTACTCTACTCTACTCTACTCTACTCTATTCTATTCCAATAGATATTCTATTCTATTTTATTCTATTCTATTCTATTTTCTTTTCTATATTCTATTCTATTCAAAACTCCATTGAAGATGTCACCTAGCCTGGTAATGAAATATTTGTAAATCAACCCACAAGCTTGGAGAACCAACCTCCACCCTCAAGTTCAAGATATGTTGACTTCAATTCTCATAATTCTCCAGCCAGAAGGCTTCTAGGTGAATTCAGAATTCTGGGCATTGAAGTTCATAATGTAAAAGTCACCATGGTTGAGAAACACTCAACTGGTTCTTGATAACTTCATCAATTTGACTTGGAATCTTGAAGGCCATTCAGTCCAAAGCTAACATTCTGGAAACTCTTGGACCAAGGTTTCATGATGGTCACTGAAATGTAGAATTACATAGGGCTGGTCAGTGACAAAACAGACTGGAGAAAGATCTGCAGCATGTTTTTGCTAAGGGCAGAGGAACCACATCTGTGAATCCTTAGATCTTTGCAAGGAAGCTCTGGAGTTTGTAGAACTATTTGCTTGTCTATGCTAGCTCTTGAAGAGAAGAACATAGCAATGTAGTTTTTTAAAAAAATTCAGAATAAGGAATATAGCAATCGTGAGCTCCAGCACATGCACAAATATGCTCCCCAGGAATTCTTCTCAAGATAATTTTAATTAGGATTTAATAAAATGGGAATTTAATTAGTTAAGTAGGAAGTGGGTCCAGCGTAGCATTGACCTTTAACATCAACTTTATTTACAAAGTTGCTTTCCACCTTTGCTGGGTCCTTGTAGGCATTTACCAAAAATGAAAAGTGGGAGCATGTAATCAGATGCTTAGTTTGAAATTTTGCCCATTATGTATTAGACATGTAGCCATTTTGAAAATAGAGGGGAAACCAGGGGTGGGATTCTACTGGTTTGCACCTATTTGTTAGAACCAGTTGTTAACATTCTAAGCAGTTTGGAGAACCCGTTGTTAGAAGAAATTACTGGCCTAATCCTGTAAGGAAGGCAGGAAGGAAACATTCTGGTGTTGCTTACAGAAACTGCCTCTCCATTAACCCTTATTACATTCTTGGCAGGACTAGACTTCCTGTCTCAGGAACTTCTCTGGAGTTTTTTTTCCCCTCCTTTGCTGGTACTTTGCTTGTGTGGAGTGACCATTCAAAGTTACAATGGCACTGAAAAAGGTGACTTATGACTATTTTTCACACTTATGACTATTACAACAGTCATGAGAGGCTAAGTGAGGAGATGCATGCCTCAATGTGAGTGATACTGAGTTGGCCACGCCCAGCCAATAACAAGACCACCAGGCCACGCGCACCCAGTCACATGACCACCAAGCCACGTCCACCACCTAAGCCATGCCCACAGAACCGGTTGTTAAAAATTTGAATCCCACCCCTGGGAAAAAACCACAAGCAATTGTGTTCCCAAAACAAAGATGTGAATGAGAATATATTACATATCGATTCATGCAGCCATCCATTAAAAGCAGATGACTTTGAGCAGGAATAACAAAATTAACAATTTCCAGATGTGCTTTTTATTTTATTAAATTTTTACATTGCTCAGATTTGCCATTCAATCCTTTCCAGAGTTAATAGAATACCTGGCCCAAAATGTTGACTTTGAAGAGATACCACAAAGAAGAGTGGATCATCTTATTCTCCAAAGCACCTGAAGGCAAGACAAGAAGCCAAGGATGGAAACTTATCAAGTAGCCAACCTAGAACTAAGGGGAAATTTCCTGACAGTGAGAACAATAAATCAGTGGAACAACTTGCCTCCAAAAGTTGTGTGTGTGTCCATTACTGGAGATTTCAAGAAGAGACTGGATAACCATTGTCTAATGGTATAAGATCTCCTGCTTGAGCACGGGATTGGACTAGAACAGGGGTCACCAACCTTTTGGACCTCAGGGTCATAATTTTAAATCCTGCAGACCAGAGACCCTGGGAAAATCCCAAAAAAAGTCTGCAGGAAAATTCCCCACCCAGTTTTCCTGCCGATTGATCATTCTTTATTTGGGATCGCAGGATACCGTCTCTAGCTCCGTTCTCAGGGTGAGAGAGAGAGAGAGAGAGAGAGAGAGAGACTTTTGGCTTCATGCAAGGAAAACAGCAGAAGTCTTTCTTTCTCTCCCCCAAATTCTGCCAGAAATGAGTCTTTGTGAGACTTGTTGCACTGGCGCAGCCTCTTGGAGCAGGAGGCCTTGCAGGGTCCCAAAGACTCATTTCTGGTGGAGTTTGGGGGAGAGAAAGAAAGACTTTTGCTGCTTTCCTTGCGTGCAGCCAAAAGCAGAAGAAGAAAGAAGCAGAAAGAAGCAGCCCGGTGGCCAGGGGAGGTGCGTGGAGCGAGTGGGGCAAGTTCCCTCCCTCCACCCTTTCTCCCCTCCCCTCACTACTTCATGTTCACAATGCAAGCGATGCAAGCCTTGTGTTCCCACACGCCATGTGGGTGGTGCAGCCTTGTGTTCCCACGTAGCCTGGATTAATTGCTTTGGGGGTGACATTTCTTTTGGACCACTAAAATTTTCTCATGGACCACCAGTGGTCCCCGGCCTACTGGTTGGCAACCACTGGACTAGAAGACATCTAAGGTCCCCTCCAATTCTCTTATTCTGACTTTATGCCTAAGACAGGACTAGAATTCTGTTCCTTGGCTTCCACTCCATGCCTTTAAACATTACACCAAACTGGCCTTCATCTCCAATCTGGAGTCCTTCAACTATGTTGGATATGACAGCTCCAAGAACTCCAAGCTGGCATTGCCTTTGGCTGGGAATTTTGCAAATTCTAGCATCAACATCTGGAAGGTCCTAAGTTAGCTGATTTTACATACTCTAAATTGGGAGGTATTTTCACAGAAGATAGTGGGATACATGCTTTGTCTACAAATTGATAAGAGTAGACTAGACAGCTGCTAATAATAGCCTTGGATCTTTTGCTGCAAGCAAAAAAGGCAGCCTTCGCAATCGCCCCGATGCATGCCTTCCTGAGATCTTAGCTTGTTGCGTGACAAACACGGATATAAAGGTACCACCGCTAGCTAGGTTGCCTAGTTCTAAGCTTGGTGAGATCTCTCTTCCTCTTCCCCCTCCAGTTCTCCTATGTCATGTTCCTCTGGAGGGCCACCTAGACCATGGAACATGAGGTAGTGGGAGTTGGCGTAGACCGGTGGCTTGTTAGGGTTTGAATGGGCCTGCTCCGGTTTGAGGGAGGCGAAGGGGTTGGCCCCACAGCTGATGATCTGAGTCTCCAGCTCCATCAGGATCCTGAGGGAATGTTTCAGCTCCTGTTCACTAGAAGAAGGAAACAAGGGAAGGATGAATTACTGGTTTGGCAAACAAAAATTGCTCCAATTCCACTTGAAATTAGGGTGTTGCCTTAGAGCAGGGGACTCCAACCTTGGCAATTTTAAGACATGTGGACTTCAACTCCCAGAGTTCCTCAGCCAGCTTTGCTGGCTGAGGAACTCTGGGAGTTGAAGTCCACAAGTCTTAAAGTTGCTAAGGTTGGAGTCCCCTGCCTTAGAGCACAATTCAAGGTCACTGCTGATTGATTCTTCATTAGTTATTACTCTACTACAGTCATTGTTGTTCCTCTGCCCACACTCCTGCAACCCAGAGTATCATTATCATGCAGAAGGTCCAGGATCAACCTCTGGTGGAATCAAGCAATCACAACCAGGGAGCAAATGAAGACAAAGACCCTATGCCCTATCCCCACAGATTCCATGGCAGTTGGAGAAGACATCTCTTAGATCAGTGGTCACCAACAGGCGGGCTAGGGACCACTGAGGGTCCACAAGAAAATTTTGGTGGTCCGCAGATAAATGCTCCCCCCAAAGCAATTAATCCAGGCTGCGTGGGAACACGAGGCTGTGCTGCTTTTTGCAAGTTGCACCACCTGCAAATTTGCACATTATATGTGCCACCACCCATGGTGGAGATTTCCAAGCCCATCACGGGCCAGTCCCATATTCCAGAGCTGCGGTAGTCCCAAGACTGGCCCTTTGGTCATCCTGGAGCAGCTCCTCCAGTCCATGGCAGCCGGTGCACCCAGGTGGAGGAGCAGCTGCTCCGGGATGACCAAAGGTCCGGTCCTGTGACTCCTGCAGCTCTGGAATAAGGGACCGACTTTCCCACCAACGTCAGCAAGCCACCGTCAGTCAAAATTCATATTAGTGGTCCGCTGGATTTAAAATTATGAGTTTGGTGGTCCCTGAGGTCCAAAAGGTTGGCGACCCCTGTCTTAGATCAGGAATGTCCAGCCTGTGGACTTCAATGCCCAGAATTCCAGCTGGGATGGGGGTTTTCGGGGAGTTGAAGTCCACAAGTTGCCAAGATTGGACGTCCTTTTCGTAAGTGAACCCTATACTCCGACCACTGGCTTCCGAAGCTCATGGATTCTGCAGCTGCAGCTTAAGCAAAGAAGAAAGCTGTCCCACGTTTCTCCCGTGGTGGATCAAGATACGGGTTTCTTCTGGTTAAATCGTGGTGCAGCAGATCACAGCTGATCACACGATCTGGACGGAGAGCTTTACCTGTACGTAGTGAATAAAGAAGGGATCTTGTAGTCTCGCAGAAGCAACAAGGTGGGAAGCCAACTTGCCATCAGATCAGGACAGGCATGGAACCCTGGAAGATAAGAAGAGACAAAGCCTGGGCTTCTTCTGTAAAGCCCTCTAGAGGGATGGGCTAAGCTGGCTCAGAATTATGGGCACTGAAGTCCTACACAACTAAAAGATGCCCGGTCAGGAAAGGTTTCTGTTTATGGTTTCTGGATTTCTGTCCTTATTTGCTATTCACTATGATAATGGCTATTACCTATTTCCACCAAGGTCATCCTCACTCTTTTATTTACTTACTCCTTGCTTATTCTTATTCTTTTACTCTTATCCTTACTCTGTTATTTACTTACTACTTCCTTATACTTATTTACATTTTCTCTTACCTTACTTTTTATGAGCCCTACTCCTTTCTTACTCTTTTCCTTGCTTCCTTACCCTTACTGTTACTTTACTTTCACCCTTACCCTTTTATTTTCCTATTCCTTACTTACTCTCCTACATAGATTCAGAAGGTCTGTTCAATAGCAAGAGCACTTAGACTTATACACCACTCCACAGTGTTTTGTAGCCCGAGGGAGGGAGGGAGGAAGGGCAATAGCAGTAGCATTTAGACTTATATACTGCTTCAGAGCTTTACAGCCCTATCTAAGTGGTTTACAGAATCAGCCTCTTGTCCCCAACAATCTAGGTGCTCATTTTACCCACCTCGGAAGGATGGAAGGCTGAATCAACCTTAAACTGGTCAGGATTGAACTGTTGGCAGTTGGCAGAGTTATCCTGCAATATGGCATTCTAACCACTACACACCATGGAAGGAAGGAAGGAAGGAAGGAAGGAAGGAAGGAAGGAAGGAAGGAAGGAAGGAAGGAAGGAAGGAAGGAAGAGCAATAGCACTTAGAATTATATACCACTTTTCTAAGCAGTTTACAGTCAGTCTATTGCTGCCAACAATCTGGGTCCTCAATCATTTCAAATATCCTCCCAGTGCAGTTTTTACAATGTTTTATAAAAGTCTCTACTCTTTTCCTTGTCCAATTAAGGCATGACAAGCTCTCCTTCTCTACCTCTATACATCAGGGGGAACCAGGTTATCCTTTCTATCAGTTCAGCTTTGCCTTCTCATCCCTTCTTCAACCACATTTTGTGGCCTGGTGAGAAGAAACGGTCTTAAGGCCTTGACACAATTATAAAGGCAACATATTTTCTCAGAGTCTCAGCAGCTGAACCATCCAAGGCTGGCTTGACCAGGAAAGAAAAGATACCCAGTTAAGGATCCCTTAAATTGATGCAGAAAATATCTGCCTTTCCCCTAAAATACTAAAATGTCACGGAAAATATTTATTCTCAAGAGACCCACTGTCTGTGTGGAATTGGTCTGTCGGAAAATGTTCATATAGACCAGTTAGTGTTTTTCAAACTTGGCAAACAGAGTTTCAACTCTCAGAAGTTCAACTCTCAGAATTCTCCAGCCAATTTAGACTTCAGCTCCCAGAATTCCCCAGCCAGTCTTGACACATGCTGGCAGAGGAATTCTGGGAGTTGGAGTCTATCCCTCTTAAAGTTGCCATGGTTGAGGAATATTGTGTGACAGGAAAGATTTTATCACATGAGTGAATGAGTGAGTTGGAAGGGTCTTGGAGGTCTTCTAGTCCAGCCCCCTGCTCAAGCAGGAGAATCTATAATATGTCAGATAAGTGACTGTCTAGACTCTTCTAAAAAACCTCCAGTGATGAGTGCCCACAATTTCTGGAGGCAATGTTCCACTGGTTAATTGTCCTCATTATCAAGAAGTTGCTTCTTGATTCCAGGTTGCTTCTCTCTTTGGTTAACTTCCAACCATTGTTTCTTGTCCTCTCATGCTTTGGAGAATAATTTTAACTATTCTTCTGTGTGGAAGCCCCTCAAATAATGGGATATTGCTATCATGTCTCCCCTAATTCTTCTTTTCTTTAGCCAGATCCAAAAACCTGCAGCCGTTCTTCATATGTTTTAGTCTGCAGGCCTTTGATCATCTCAGTGGCTCTTTGAACTTTTGGTTCTTTGACAGTCTGAACTTGAGACAAGAGCACCGGTGAACATCGAATTCGGTTCTCCATATATGCCCAGCCCTGAAATTCAGCCTGGTGACACAATGAAAAAAACATTCCTCCCTTTTGCCAGAGAAAAAGATAGTAAGATAGGATGGAACACGAGGCTGGAATCTCTTCCTTCCTAACTTTGAAAGGTGGCGGCGGCTTCTATCCATTGCACATTTAAATCTGAGCTTGGCTCTGAAGGCAACAATGTCTGGAGCGCACCCAGGAGAATAGCGAGAACCTAGCTGTTTATACAGCTGTTGGAACACCCTTGCACATTATAACTGTGAAACGTGGCCACTGGTGAGTGTCTGATGCCCGGGGTTTAGACACCGCGAGGCTAGGCAGATGGGAAACTCAGGCCCAGTTTGCTGAAGCTTCTCCGGCATTCTGGAAGTCTGGGGGATGCCACAAGGCAGTTGTATATTTAGAAAGGCCTTCTGTTGCCTGGAGGGCTTCACAGCAGTGGGATGTTACAAAAAGAGACGATCAAAAGTACACCTTGTTCCTGGAAAGAAACCACTTTGCTGTGCCAGAGAATTCAAGAGGGACGGACAGAGACGCTGCAGAATGCCTAAAGAACTGAAATTGGTCAGGTGGTCTTTCAGAGTTTGGGAAAGGGTCTTAGCGATGATTTGTGGTGTTCTTGATGGGCGGATCGAGCAAGGGGAGACTCAAAGAATGGGTCACCATCACCCCTGAGAAACCAATGCTCCGGAAGAGAGTTTCTTGACATTGAACTGCAAACCAGGGCATACAAAACCTTTGCCAGACCAATTCTCGAATACAGCCCATCTGCTTGGAATCCCCACTGTATAACAGACATTAATACAATTGAGCAAGTCCAGAGCTAGTCTGGAGTTTGATCCTGGCCGGCTGAAGGTTGACTCCTCCTTCCATCCTTACGAGCTCGGTTAAAAAAAAAGGACCAAGATTCTTGAAGTGGCCATAGGATGACTCTGTAAACTGCATTCAGAGAGTAATTGCAAAGCATAACAGAGCAGTATATAAGTCTACGTGCTATTGCTATTCTGGAGTCGAGAGCTCCTCTTGATGAGGACACTGGTGGCATATTTCACATTATTGGCTGGGACTAAGGATCTCTCGCGTGTTTTTGCAAAAGGTTCAGAGGCCACCTCATGGGAAATGTTGCTGACAGGCTGCATCTCCTTCTAGTGTGCCTGTCAGTGCAAAAATCACAGAAGCATCACAACAACCTTATGAGAAATTCCAGACTGCTGGCTGGCTAAATATATCTGTGAACTTAGCTACTTTGGAAAGGGAATCGGACCAATTAACAGATGGTACTGCTGAGAAGGGCTACAAATCCCAGTAAGCATGTTGCCTAGGTTTGCACCTTCTGTTAAGCCATGGCTTGCCTCATCCCAGCTAAGCTGTGGCTGGCCTGGCTCGTTTATTGCACTAAGCCCAAATCAAACACAGCTCATAATAAGACTCTGGGAGATGTGTCAATGGAGCCAATGTATCTTTCAGTAGCTGATTTCCCAGGCTGTTCAAGGGTCATTCTATCCCCAGAGCTGGGTGATTGATGCTTGGCAGATGAAGCCTGCACACTAAACACATCCTGCCCTTTAAGACCTGGCCTTCCGTGAAAGGACATTATCCACTTCTGGGTAGCTTTCCATTTTCCACTGAGATCTAGGGAGGAGATAAAAACCTTTGGGCAGAGATGACCTGCTGCTGGTTCGCACCGGTTCTCAAGGACCGGTAGTTAAGATTAGGTGCAGTTCGGTGAACTGGCAAATCCCACCACTGGTTGGTCCCATCCCTGCCCATTTTTCGGCCTGCTTTTTGGACCATTTTCAGGCTGTTTTTGGACCAAAAGTGGCCTGAAAATGGCATGAAAAAGGCCCCCAAAATGGCCCCCAAACAGCTTGGTTTTCAGTCGGTTTGGGGGTCATCTTGAGGCCATTTGCAGGCCATTTTCAACCATTTGGGGGGCCAAAAATGGACTGGAAAACAGCCTGGAAACAGCCTGGAAACGGGCCTGTTTTAATGGCTGTTTTCAGGCCATTTGGGGGGCATTTTTCAGGCTGTTTTAAGACTATTTTCTGGACCAAAAATGGCCTGAAAACAGCCTGAGAAACGGTCTGAAAATTGGGTGGGGGCGGGGCCAGCCAGTGATGGGATTAGCTCCAACTGGCTGAATCCTACTGCTTCTTGGAGGTGGGGCTGGGTGTGAGGAGTGACATCACCCACCCAGTCACATGACCAGCTGGCCACACACCTACCCTACTTTCTCCAGCTCCATTCTCGGGGAGAGAGAGAGACTTTTGGCTTCGTGCAAGGAAAGCAGCAGAAGCTGCAGAAGTCTTTCTTTCTCTCCCCCAAATTCTGCCAGAAATGATCTTTGTGAGACTTGTTGCACCGGCACAGCCTCTTGAAGCAGGAGGCCTTGCAGGGTCCCAAAGACTCATTTCTGGTGGAGTTTTGGGGAGAGAAAGAAAGACTTTTGCTGCTTTCCTTGCATGCAGCCAAAAGCAGAAGAAGAAAGAAGCAGAAAGAAGCAGCCCGGTGGCCAGGCGAGGCGCATGGGGCAAATTCCCCCCTCCCCTCACCGCCTCATATAGTTTGCAATGCAAGTGACACAAGCCTTGTGTTTCCATGGGTCGTGTGGGCAGTGCAGACTTGTGTTCCCATGCAGCCTGGCTTAATTGCTTTGGGTGTGACATTTCTCTGCGGACCACCAAAAGTTTCTCACGGGCCACTAGCGGTCCCCAGCCGACTGGTTGGTGACCACTGGGCTAGAGGTGGAGCTTTCGCCTCAAAATAAGAGGCTGTGAGTTTGATTCTAGATAGCAGCAGGTTTTTCTCTCTCAGGCACAATGAGTAAATATGTGCTGCGAACTCCGCATTGGTGACAGGAAGAGCATCCGGACAGTAAATAATCAGCTCCCTTCCTTTGCCCTGACTCCACCATGATTTAAGGAATTACAGGATCATTAAAAGACAAAACAAAATTGCTTTGATGGACCCCAAACTTATGCTTCTTGTTGGTGCAGGACTCTACACGATCTAAACCAGCTTTTCCCACCATGTTGGTTTCTAGTGCTGACCTCTGGGTCCTCCCTGGTTCGAATTCAACATTACATTGCATTGAGTCTGGTGGGGCTAGATAATCCATGAACACAAGAAGAATGCCTAAAACCAGAGGTGGCATTCAACAGGTTCTGACCAGTTCTGGAGAACCGGTAGCGGAAATTTTGAGTAGTTCAGAGAACTGGCCAATCCCACCTCTGATTGCCCCCACCCCTATCTATCCTCTGCCTCCTGAGTCCCAGCTGATTGGCTGGATCTTCTTTAGTTGCCCTGCATAGGAGAATGGAGCTGGAAAGCAGGTTAGTGGGTGGGGGAGGGAATGGGGATTTTGCAGTAACCTTCCCCTGCCACGCCCACTAAGCCATGCCACGCCCAGCAAGCTACATTCACAGAACCAGTAGTAAAGAAAATTGGAATCCCACCACTGCTGTAAACCTTTATACCTGCATGGAAGGCGACCACAAGATCTGGTCGCGCCGCTTGCTGTGTTTCCACCTGTGATTCCCAGAAGTTGTGATAAAGGTCCTTGTAGCTGCTGAGGTAGACCCTTTGCCGAGGCCCAAAGGCCACCAGCGGAGGTCTCATGATGGGACCATCTACCACATCCATCCCCACCATGACCACCTCTATGCCTTGGTGCTTCGGAAACATCTGGGAGAGCTCATCGTAATCCGTCACCCGAGCGTTGAGGGTCTCAACATGAGAAGCTCCAACCACATGCACCGTGATGGGCTTGGCGTAAGGATCCAGATGGAACATGCTCAGCCCGAAGCCAACGGTGACAGGCCTGGAGACAAAGTCTGTGGTCACCCTCTTGATTGACTCCGTCAACTCCACTTCGTTGGGCTTTGGTTTGCCCGCGTTGGCCCAGAGGATGCTCATGTAACGCCCGGCTTTGATAGCACTAAGCTTTTCTTCCAGATGTTCCTGCATCAAGAACCAGTCTTCCCAGCCTTGCAGGTCCTGGGTATTTTTTGTCCATGCACTTGTGGGAAAAGGGATGTCACCTACGGGGAGACAATGAGGATTTAGAAGAATCCGTTGCGGCCCGCCAGCGGCTGGAGGGGCTGGCAAGCAGAGTTGGACAGTAGTAAAGAGATTGGGGAGGAACCTGGGCCAGCCTTGGAGGCTAAGAAAGGCTGGACAAGGGCTCTGCATCAGAGGCAGAGATGGGGCCAGGGCAGGCTGGCCATCATCCGTTGCCTTCAGGCTCAGATAGCAGTGAGGCTGAGGAGCAGCTGGAGCCGGTTCCCAGCCTGCATACGCACAGAGCTGCTAAAAGAAAGGAGCAATTAAGAACTCAGGGTCAACGTGGGAGTAAGGCCACAGGTGGATAATGAATGGCCCCTCTCATCAGGATTAAAAGAGGAGCAAAAGGGGAGGGGGCACCTCTAACTGGCCCCACCCCATCTCTTCTCTGCCTCCCGTTGAGTCCCAGCTGATCGGCTGGGTCTCCTTTGGTTGCCCTGCACAGGAGAACGGAGCTGGAAAGCAGGTTAGTGGGGTGGGGTGGGAATGAAGATATCCTTCACTATCCTTCCCCTGCCACGCCCACCAAGCCACACCCACAGAACCGGTAGCAAAAAAACCTGAACCCCACCACTGGCACCCCTATTGTTCTATGTCTGAAACCTCCCCAGATGGACAACGGCCAACTGAATCTCAGGTTACCTGTGAAGACAAGCCATTCTGCAAGTCGGTCAAGGGCTGCCAGCTTCAGTTTCTTGCAGAATTTTTTGTGGCTGGGCCAGTTCAACCGTTGACAATCAGCACTACAATAGTAGACATTCTGACACCTAGAAACAAAAGGACGAGAATTTATCAATGCTAGATTTGTGAGGTGCGTTATTTCACTTCCAACGATCTAAGGAATCATGAACATGGGCTATCGTGCTGTCTCGATCTTTCAAGGACTTCTTGCTATTTTTTTTTTTATTGCACTGTAGGAAGTTAGCACCCACCTCTCTCCTAGAAAAATGAAATATCCTAGGAAATATTAAACAAGCAGAATATTTCCCCTAAAAAGAGAAGTAGAAACTCAGAAGCAGAAGCTCACCCCACCACACCTTTGTTAATGGGAGGGCCATTAAGGCCTGGGCCAGAGTATTCTACATAACAAAGGCCTTTGCCCATCTCACCACCTGGCCAGGGAAGATTGCATCAGCCAGCACTCAGGTGAAGCCATGTGGTACATACAAAACCTACAAAGTTAACTAAGACCCCCACCCCGCAACCCTGGGAGTCTGACAGCCAATGGGATACATTTCTTACACAGGAACAGGAAACACTAAGGTGAGGCCCAACAGAGGGTATTATCACTAAGGGTCTCTCAGCCTCTTGGCCCCTCTTTTCCTTCACCCAACATCTTGAAGCCTGTGGTCGTCCCTTTCACTTTGGAGCTCCAAGCCATGTGGTCCTGTCCACCATTAAACCATCTTTCCAAACAGCCTCCATGTTTCCAGTGTCTATTTCCCCACTTGGAACTGAACCCCGAAGGATATTTCTTCCAACAGCACCTATCTCCTTTATCCATTGCCTTTCTATTACTGAATCTTGCTGGAAATCTCAAAGGAGTTTTATGGGGTCTCCGCATGATTCACGTCTTGTATCTGTGGAGTTTTTGCTTACTGGACAAGAGATGCCTTCAAATTATGGTCTTGAGCCTTTCTTTAATCTCAGAGGAGTTTTATGGGGTGTCCACATGATTCACACCTAGTATCTGTTTAGTTTTTGCTTGCTGGACAAGAAATGCCTTCAAATTATTGGAGGACACCTCAAAGAATCTATCAGGCTACATGAAGTCTGCCTGCTCCTTTGATTTAAAAAACAGTGCAGGTAGTCCTTGGCTTATAGTCACGATGGAGACCAAAATTTTCACTACTAAGCAAGAAAGCTGTTGCCCCATTTTCAACCTTTTTGCCACAGTCATTAAGTGAATCACTGCATTCCTTAAGTGAATCAGGTGGTTGTTAAGGGAATCTGGCTTCCCGCATTGAATCTGCTTGTCAGAAGCTGGCTGGGAAGGTTAAAAACAGTGATCACATCACTCCAGGACAGTACAACCATCATAAATACGTGTCCGTTGCCGAGTGCCCGAATTTTGATCGCGTGACCGTGGGGATGCTGCAAACGGTCGTAAGTGTGGGGAAAAGTCCTATGTGCCTTTCTTCTGCGCCGTTGTAACTTTGAACGGTCACTAAATGAAAGGTTGTAAGTCAAGGACTGTATGGCTTTTCAAAACCCAAGAGTTCAACTTGGGATAAAAGGAAACCAGAAAGAAAAAGTGCCAATGAACTTTAACAAATAGATGTTCCCTCACCGCTGGGAAATCCACTGAGACCAATGTTCCTTGAAAGGAAGGTGTTATTTCACAGGTGGTCTGCCTATAGGTCCCAACTGGCTCTATTTTCTAAGCCAAATTATCATTAAAATGGTCCCCAAAGTGAGTTCCCTGGGATCTAGTACATCTATAGCAGAGTCAGCAGATTCTGACCAGTTCTGGAGAACCGGAAGCAGAAATTTTGAGTAGTTTGGAGAACCGGTAAATATCCCCTCTGACTGCCCCCCCCACCATCTCTTCTCTGCCTCCTCTTGAGTCCCAGCTGATCGGCTGGGTCTTCTTTGGTTGCCCTGCACAGGAGAACGGAGCTGGAAAGCAGGTTAGTCGGGTGGGGAGGCAATAGGGATATTGCAGTAACCTTCCCTGGAGTTGGGTGGGAATGGGGATTTTACTGCCGTGCCCACCAAGCCACGCCCACCAAGCCACGCCCACAGTAGTAAAAAAATTTGAATCCCACCACTGGGTCATTCCCAACTACATCTTCAGCCAAGGACCACCGATGTAGTCAACTTTCCTCCTTCTTTTCTGAGACATCTTTGTTTTCAGCAGAAATACACGGTTGCTTAGCGATAGTCACAAGAGGCTTGAAATAGGCGCCTCATGTTTATCTTCGCTTATGGTTTATTATTCTGACCACCCTCTCGATGTGGTTGTTTGCCTTCCTGGAATTTAATCCTTATCCCCTAATTGCAAAGAAAAGGTCTGTTGGCTCCTGTTAGATTATGCTCAGGCATCCAGTATAAACAAACCCAACCTACTTCAAAAGCGGCTGTTATGGGGGAAAACTGGAGGAACTATGCAGGTGGTCTTGAAGTCCTGGGAAAAAAAAAACAGGATATCACCCTAAGGGATGGGTTGAATGCCTTCGTTTCTGCACTAGCATCTTGTGGTCTGTCGGCCGCCGGCCCATCCAGCAGCCAAATCAGAGGAGGAGGAGGTGTGGCAGTCAGATTCAGTATCAAGGCAATGTGAGACCTCCAAGGGGGAAGTGGAATTAGAGACAGAGAGAGAGAGAGAGAGATGGGGGAGAAAGAGAGAGAGACACAGAGAGAGAGACAGAGACAGAGAGACAGAGGTGAAGCCTGGGCCATCCGTTAGCCCTCAGATGAGAGTCAACAGCCCCATGTCTGGAGGTGGCTGATGAAGAAAAGGAGGAACAGCTGGGTCCAGTGCCTGATGCTTGGATGCACAGAAGGCAGAGGAGAGGAGAGCAAGCGGAAATCTATGGGCCAGTCCTTGGGATGGAAGAGCCACTGCTGCTAGCAAAGCCTCACCCTAGCTATGGGGATAAAAGGCAGGGGGGATAGAGATGAATAGATGTGGTAGACAACTATTCATCTTCCAGCCAGCTGAGCTTGTTAACCTGTGGTGGAGAGCGAAACTTTTTTGCCAGGGCTGTTGGTGCCCCTAATAAAGGAATCTTTGAGTTAACTTCGGAGGGTTTGTTGCATTTGGGGAGCTGGATCAGAACACATCTCAACAGTAAAAGGAATCCCTGCAGATTTTACTCCAATGCTCATTGACTGATCTCCGTTTTGAGACCCCTGACCCAGCGCTGTCTGAGGATATTTCCGTGGTCATGATGTCCATGGAGTGCTGTTACCTTCCCACAAAAGTGGTGCCTATTTAACTATTATTTACCTATTTAGCTGCTCTCGTTTGCTTTTGAACAGCTAGGTTGGCAGGAAATGAGGCAAGGAAGGGACCTCACCCAGGGGTGGGATTCAATTTTTTTAACAACTGGTTCTGTGGGTGTGGCTTAGGTGGTGGGTGTGGCTTAGGTGGTCATGTGACTGGGTGGACATGGCTTGGTGGTCATGGTATTGGCTGGGCGTGGCCAACTCAATATCACTCACATTGAGGCACACATCTCCTCACCTGGCCTCTCATGACTGTGGAGATGTTGCAACAGTCGTAAGTGGGAAAAATGGTCATAAGTCACTTTTTTCAGTACCATTGTAACTTTAAATGGTCCCTCCACACAAGCAAAGTACCAGCAAAGGAGGGGAAAAAAACTCCAGAGAAGTTCCTGAGACAGGAAATCTAGTCCTGCCAAGAATGTAATAAGGGTTAATGGAGAGGTAGTTTCTGTAAGCAACACCAGAATGTTTCCTTCCTTACAGGATTAGGCCAGTAATTTCTTCTAACAACCGGTTCTCCGAACTGCTTAGAATGTTAACAACCGATTCTAGTGAATAGGTGCCAACTGGTAGAATCCCATCCCTGACCTCACCCCATCACAAGCCACTTGGGTCTCGAACCTGGGCTGCTGACTTTTCAGCCGATAAGCTCAGCATCTTAACCACTGAGCCACTGTACCACCTTTATCACATCTCGATAGCAATGTTTAAAACCCAAACTTGAGTTCTTTGTTTCTTTCAAAGCTCCTGTTGCCATTTTGAATAAATTAATTTAATTAATGATTCTGCTGGAGGAAAAAAAACAGTACCCTTTCCAAGGTATTGAAGCAGGCGGCGGGGTGGGTGGGGGAGTTTTAATTTTTACCTTTTGCAACGCCGTAGGCTTCTTGGGTCAGGTAGCGAATCAGGAAGTTTTTTGCACTCGACGCAAAATTTGAACGTGTCTTCCATTTTCTGAAACATCTCAAAGTAAGATCGGATGCCAAAATCCATGCAGGGGGTTTTGCCCTCCAGTGCAGATCTAGAAGGAAGCAGACCGTGCCAAAATAATGCTGAGGAAGAAATCATCCTATGCTAAGCCAGAAAACCATTCCCAAGCTTCACATTTGGAAGTGAATCAGGCAAATACCTCCCTGATTCAATTAAGTAGAAGACCAGTACAATCAGATTTGGAAGATTGTTTTATGACCAGATTAACAGAGTTGGAAGGGACCTTGTAGGTAATCTGGTCCAACCTCCCTCCCTGCCCAAGCAGGAGACCCTACATTATTTCTGACTGAAGGCAGTCCAGTCTCTTCTTGAAACCCTCCAGGGATGAAGCTCCCACAACTTCTGAAGGCAACTTCTGTTCCATGGGTTGATGGTTCTCACTGTCAGAAAATTCCTCCTTATTTCTAGGTTTAATCTCTTCTTGTTCAATTTCCATCCATTATGAAGCTTTGGAAAATAGTTTGATCCCTTCCTCCTCTCTGTGGCAGCCCCTCAAATATTGGAAGACTGCTATCATGTCTCCCCTGGTCCTTCTCTTCTCTAGACTAGCCAAGCCCAGTTCCTGCAACTGTTCATAGTATGTTTTAGCCCCTGATCATCCTGGTTGCTCTTCTCTGCACTTTTTCTAGAGCGTCAACATCTTTTTTTAGTGTGGTGACCAAAACTGGATGTAGTTTAGCCACCTCGTAGAGTTTATCTCCCTAATCGAGCTGATAGTTCACCAGCAAGTCAAGCATTGGCTACTTTAGAGCTTCTGCGTCCAACTCCACTTCCCCACACCAATATTTCCCTCATTCTGTTTGCTAATCCAGCTCACCTATATTCATCATAATTCTTCATGTTGAGTTTCTGAAGGATAACTTGGGACAGCCCAGGAACGTTACTCTCCATCGCTTGGAAACCCAAGGAATCCATCTTCGCCCCGCTGAGAACTGGGTGCTCTGTTGAGTTCTTAGAATGTCCGCTTTTGGAAGTCTTCTTTTTGCTTCGCTGAGACATCTTGAACAGACGTGGGAAGATCTAGAATGGAATCCACCTATCAAAAGGAGAAGCAGCCAATATTATTTTCAACCTCCTTCACCTTGGGACGTGGTGGATCTTACAATAGGCATTCATGAATGGGAAAAAAATTGCTCGATAAGCATGACGTTATATTATACTAGCCCGATACCCTTGTTTTGCTATGAAACTCTGTGGTTGGACTTAGTTTTTGGGGAGGAAAATAAGGAGGGAAAAAATTCTGCCTCTGCCTACCAGAATCCATCGGTATTCATCTGGCTAGCGTCCTGTCAGTGTGTGAGAGAGTTGAGGGATGTTTGGAAACTGAAGCAGTATTTGCTGTGTGAGTGAGAAGGAGACAGCAAGGAGCCTGGGCGTGGCTTAGCTCAACTATTTTGTACTAAAGCTGCTTGGTGCTGTGAAACTAAAACTGAAACTCCTCTCCTCTGGTGGTGTTTTGCATTTGGAAGAGATTTCTTTTCAGGTGGGGAGGGGGAGTAGAACTCCTTGGCATCAGAGCATGATACTACTACTACTACTACTACTACTACTACTACTGCTGCTAATAATAATAATAATAATAATAATAATAATAATAATAATAAAGGAAATAATCAGCTCTGATGGTCATTTCAAAAAATCCTTTCTTAGTGAGCACCTAGAAGCCAAGAGGAACATATGTGCCAAATTTCAAGTTTGTAGGCTTTACGGTCCTGGAGATTTTGTGATGATATCTGAATTTTGATTTCATGACCATGGGGGATGCTGCTATGGTCATAAGTGTGAAAAAGGTTGTGTTGCTTCAGCGCTGCGGCGACTTTGAATAGCCACTAAATGAATGGCTGCAAATCGAGACATACCTATATTAATTCAATATTACATGTTAAATCAGAAAAGACTTGCAAGCGGGGCCCCTGGAAAAGAGATGGGATGGGCAGGCGGGAAAAGAAGACGGCGCTCAAACAGGGAAAGCAAAAATGTTCCTTACAAAGTTTCATTTTAACCTAAGATGGAACGATTTCAGGATTCACTTAACAGCTCCAGCGCTCGGCTAACGAGCCCCGATAAGACAGGTCGTAAAATTGAGCCTGAGTTACGTAACAACCGCCTTGCTTAGCAACAGGGGTTCTGGTCCCAACTCCTGGTCGTTAAGTCGAGGACTACCTGTAGCACCCTTCATGAAAACTCTTCCCTTCCCCCGCCTGTTGGGTTGCTCTTGTCACGGCAAATCTACTGTATTTGCGGTTCCAGGATCCTCACCCATTTTTGGCTTCCGGCTAACAGCCTTCACCGTCTCTCTTGCCTTGCACCTGTTCCCTGAAATCAATCCTTCCTAGGAGAGACGATGGGCCTATGGTAAGGTCTGTGGCCGGCTGCCAGCCGGCGGCAGCGTAGCCAATCTTCATTTGACAGCGTGCCTGTCCAAGCAACAATGGTGCCAAAGATCTGTCAGCTTGTTTTGCAAGACGCTCTCGGCTGACAGATCCAGCCTGAGTCGGAATGAAGCCCGGCTGTAGAATTCATGCTAGGTCCTGTGTTCACAACCCGAGTAAAAGACAGGGAATCCCTTGACTTACAACCGGAATTGGGACCTGAATATCCAAAGCGGTTGTTTGGAGTGTCAGGCCTGCCCCGATCTGATCCTTTAGGAAAGAAAGACCCTCGACTCCGTTTGGTTGGAGGGAAAGGTTCTTTTAACGAAGAGATGTGGACTGGAGTAAATTCAGGCGAGCTCTGGATTTCCCTCACTCAAAAGATACACAAATGTTTCCCCTCATCCCAGTCTTCTCTCCGTGACCAGTCCGTCTTCAGCCAGTCAGAACTCGCTGAAGTGTTTTGAGAGTGCTGAGATGTTTTGGGGGAAATCCACATCCTTACTCAGGATGCCTGGCCTTGAATGCTGGTGCAAACTGGTTCTTAGCTTCTCTGGTCTTTATCACTTGTCATCCCTTCCCTCCCCATTTCCCATCACTTGCACACACAGCTTTATTGCCCATCTATTCTCCTCCTCCTCCTCCTCCTCCCCCCCCCCCCCCCGCTAGCCTTTGATGGCAGGATGCCTGTGCAGTGCCAAGCCGAACCTGGCAGCCTGACAATTGAGTCAGGCCCGATTTTATGTCCTTGCCACAGTGGTTAAGCAAATCACTGCAGTTAAGTAAATCACACTTAGTTAGGCACATCCGGTTCCCCTTCCCTACCTGCCCCCATCAACTTTACTTGTGAGAAAGGTTGCAAATTTACTTGGCTAGAAAGGTTGCAAATGCTGATCGCGTGGCCCTGAGGTGCTACAACCATTGTAAATATATGGACCTGGATTTTGATCTGTGAGGATGCTGTGATGGTTGTATATATGAAGACCGAAGACTACCTGTAAGGTATTTCCAATAAGAAACGGTTTCTGGATGCATCCAAACAAGACAGACACAAACTTCAATGGATAATTAGAACTGCAGAAAAAACAATTGCTACCAAGCTGCCTTCCATGGAGGACCTGTATACTGCACGAGTCAAAAAGAGGGCTGTGAAAATATCTAGAGAGCCCTCACACCCTGGACATAAATTGTTTCAACTTCTACCTTCAAAACAATGCTATAGGGCACTGCACACCAGAACAACTAGGTACAAGGGCAGTTTTCCTCCCGAATGCCATCACTCTGCTAAACAACTGATTCCCATAACACTGTCAAACTATTTAGTAAGACTATTACTATTCTTCTTCTCATCCTTCCTGTTACCTATCTCCTTCTAACTTATGACTATAACCTTGTTGCTTGTATCTTTATGATTTATATTGTTTTATTTCGTTTCCTAGTATGATTTCGATTGCTTATTTGGTATCCTATGACTATCATTAAATGTTGTATCTTATGATTCTTGATGAATATATTTTGATCTGTGAGGATGCTGTGATGGTTGTACATGTGAGGACCGAAGACTACCTGCAAGGTATTTCCAATAAGAAGCATTTTCTGGATGTACACTGAGAGTCTATGCACCGGAGACAAATTCCTTGTGCGCCCAATTGGCCAATAAAAATCTCTATTCTTTATTAAGCAGGGGAATGAACAAACAAAACAATGGGTCAAAGAGAGCACTATATTTAATCATATATAGCTAGCTGACAAGACCATGACAGAAGGATCTCAACAAACAACATTAACATTAACTTGCATCACATGGAAAGTACTTCAAGCCAGCTAAGTCTCAGCAACAACAGCCAGCTTATCAAACAGTCCGAAATCAAACCGTGACTTAGAAGTATCCGAACAAACAACACTCACCAATTTGCATCCCGTAAAAAGGTAATGAAAGGCCAGTGCTTGGATAGACGAGCACAATTCAGAGCACACCGGCGATGTCTCCTCTAACAAAAGTTTGCAATCAAATGGCTGAGCTTGGGGCTCAAACCAGAGCACCCTATTCTCAGGGCAGGAATGGCTGGTTTGTAGGGGCATTAAAACACAATGTAGTGGCATTTGGACAGCACGGGGCTGAAATATGGTTTCTCCCTCACCAAGTTTGCAGAGGAAACTATACACAGAAAATAGATTGGTTAAGCCTTCCAGAAGTTTAAGGTACCATTTCAGATCTTGGTTGGTTTTTTTTTTAAAAAGATGGAGTAGCACTTTGCCAGTGAACGTTCATTATACTGTTTAGAAACCTTGCAGAAATGGGTTGGAGGACTCAATGAGAGGCTGCCCCTCCTTCTTCAACATCCCTGCAAAGAGTGGACATTGCATTTGGTAGCAAACCAGAAGAGAAGAGAAGAGAAGAGAAGAGAAGAGAAGAGAAGAGAAGAGAAGAGAAGAGAAGAGAAACAGAATTCTTTATTGGCCAAGTGTGATTGGACACACAAGAAATTCGTCTTCACTGCACAAGCTCTTAGTGTACATAAAAAATACATTCATCAAGAATCATAAGATACAACACTGTGATAATCATAGGATACTAAATACTATTCTATTATACTAGATACTAAATATATTATACTAAATATATTATACTAAAACTATTATACTAAATATATTATACTAAATATATTATACTAAATGCTATTCTATTCCCCATATAGGCTGTTCTCAACTTACCAAACAGCAATTTACAATGGATTTTCCCAAAATCAGCACTTCCTACTGCAGACCTTACCTTCCAACCACCACGTTCACCTAATGACCATTACAAAAAAAAAAAAAGTAAAACCAATTTGGTTCATATGAACAACCTGATTTACGATCATCCCAACGAATGACTGTAATAGGCAGACTCCATTACGGTTGTATTCCCAACTACTTGTCAATCTGCAAGGCTCGTGCTAAGCATGTATCTTTTTTTACAGTCCCAAAATCCTTTAAGCCAGGGGTCTCCCACCTTGGCAACTATATGACTTGTGGACTATATAGCTAGCTGAGGAATTCTGGGATGTGAAGTCCACAAGTCATAAAATTGCCAAGGTGGGAGACCCCTGCTGCTTTCAGCCATTTGTTTATGGCCAAAACACAAAAAAACCTGCAGCACCACCAAAATCTCTATTCTACTTTAGCTGCGGTGCGTATAATAAAGCAGACGGAAATGACGAGAGATACGTTTTAAGTGAAGTTGGCAAGGGGAAAATGCTTTGCATCATGAAAGAACCAGCGGAATTTCAGGAAACACATAAGCAGGTGATCCCCAGGCTTAACACTGGCTTTCAGGCTTGCTACCCTGCAGATGTCCCCAGAATGCAAAACGATAGATTTCCATCAACAGAGAAGAGAGAGGGTCGATGAAGTATGCCAGGGCTTGTTAGCAGTGCAAAATGGCACAGGGTGCCTGGAATGTGTCTGTTTATCTCATGCATAGAGCGACATTCTTTCAATTAATATCCGATTAGCCATGGTGGAGTGAAGGGCAGGGATGTTCCTTGGTGGAGCTCAGCTGCGAGTATTTTTCTAAGCCCTCTTCCCAGCTGCAGACTTCAACAAGTGATAGCCCATCTGACTTGTGACACTTCCAGACTGGGTTTATTTTTAGACCGTCTTTAGATGAGAGCTAACGTCAACCAGGAAAAGATATTCCCCTTCTCTAGTTTCAGATGTTCTGCTGTGCCAGGGGTTGGCGGCTTTCAAATCTGTTGCTTGGGTTTTCTCACTTGTGATGGGGAAGATGGGCCGCGTAATACTTCTGGAAGGCAGAAGGCAGAAGTGGTATTCAGCCGGTTCTGACCGGTTCTGGAGAACCGGTAGCAGAAATTTGGAGTAGTTTGGAGAACCGGCCAATGCCACCTCTGACTGGCCCGGCCTCCCTCTATTCTCCGCCTCCCATTGCATCCCAGCTGATTGGCTGGGTCTTCTTTGGTTGCCCTGCACAGGAGAACAGAGCTGGAAAGCAGGTTAGTGGGATAGGGAGGGAATGGGGATTTTGCAGTATCCTTCCCCTGCCACGCCCATCAAGCCACACCCACCAAGCCACGCCCACCAAGTTACACCATGCCCACCAGGTCACGCTCACAGAACCGGTAGTAAAAAAAATTTAAATCCCTCCACTGGCAGAAGGGCTATTACTCACCCCACCCCAAATTTAAATATAGGCAGTCCTTGATTTATGACCGCCATTGAGCCCCAAACATTCCATTGTTAAATGAGGCATTTGTTAAGCGAGTTTTGCCCCGTTTTACGATTTTTCCTGCCACGGTTCTTAAGTGAATCCCTACAGTAGTTAATAACCTGGTTGTTGAGTGAATCTGGCTCCCCCATTGACACTGCAGCCATCATAAACATGATTCCAGGACACTACAAGTATGAGTCAGTTGCCTCTGAATTTTGATCATATGACCACCGGGGTGCCGCAAAGGTCGTAACTGTGAAAACAGTCATAAGTCACGTTGTTCAGTTGCCATTGTAATTTCGAACGTGTTTGAAGTGTTGCAAGTCGAGGACAACCTGAATTTCAGCTCCCCATGAAATTCAAATTCCCATCACTGATGTAATCAAGTTCATCTACCTTATGGCTACCAAAGTTATCCTCGTCTCCTCTTTCGTTCCACCTTCCCCAGGATTCTAGATTTCACCAAAGGGTTGGGTCAATTGCCCGGAACCTTTATGGTTAAAAAAATAAAAAGACAAACTTGGCCAACATGGGTGAGGTAGATACTATTTCCAGTCTGGTACCACCCACAAATCAGCCAATCAGTTTATATGAACTGATGGGAGCTGAGGAACAGAGCCAGAGGAAAAGAAATAGACTCCCATGGAACATCTGAAGATCTTCCAAGCTCATCAGAATGTTCCTCTGCCTCTTGCCACCTACTACAGGTAATCCTTGACTCACCATCTTTTGTCTAGCCACTGTTCAAGCACTGAAAAAAGTGACTTGCAACCAGTGCTCCCACTTAAAACCATCGAGCATCTCCCAAATTCAGGGGGTTTGGCAATGGCATGTATTCATGAGGATTGGAGCATTCCAGGTCATGTGATCAACTTTTCCGACCTTCCCACCTGATTTCATGATCGATGTGGGGAGCCGGATTCATTCAAGGACTGGATGATTTACTTAACAGCCATTATGGCAAAAAAAAAAGGTCAAAGAATCAGTGACGATTCACCAAACTGCTTTGCTTCACAATGGAAATTCAGATCCTAATTGGGGTCGTACATCTAAGGCTATCTGTACGGCGAAAATAAAGCATCTGTTCTAATTGTTCTGGGATGTGTTTATTTATTTTGTATTTATTTGACTTGTCAATTGCTTACAAGATAATAAATATAAGTATAAACATGAGTAAGAATACAGGAAATAGGTACGAATAAATGGGGACAATAGGGCAGGGACGGTAGGCACGATTGTGCACTTATGCACAGTATAATCAGCTGTATTCATGAAATGCACCAATCCAGGGTTAAGGAACCATGATTTACAGGATGAATGATAAACCCCAGGGGTTCGGCTCAAAGAACCCACAGTGAAGCCAATCCCATCATGAGCTTGCCCGCCTCCCACATCCAATCATGTTAGCTCATATTTATAAAAACAATGTGAGCTTTGCAAAATCTCTACAAAATGTGGGATACATGCTTAAATAGGAAATAAACGCATAAATAAACATTTTCCTTCCTTGTTTCAAAAGGAGGCAAGGTTTTACCCAGGAGAGAGCCCAGAATTTGTTTCCCAAAGAATTCTTTCTCAAAAAAAAGGAGGAAAAAAAAAGAGAGAGAGAGAATATCTTGCCTGTTGCTCATAGCCAGAACAAAATTTAATTTTACTGAAAATTAAATGGGCCTGTTTTTTTTTAAGGCACCTCTAGATCTATTTCTTGAAAACCCAAATAGTTGGGGGGGCACGGGGGGCAAACTGACCCAAGCAGGCAGCAGGGAGAAATTTATTTTTGTTATTGGAAGAATTTTTGCTACTATGGCTTAAAGTAAAGCATTGTGTGAGCTAGTCCATCCACAAATAAAAATGATCTTTCTCTAACTGGGTTAGGGTTTTTATGAAAATGCTAGTCAAACAAGGCACAACCTAAAAAGTTAGATTTAAAGCTCAGGAAATAAGCTCACCTGCTTGACGTCTTCGTTCCTTGGATTGTCCCAGAACAGGGAAAGAAAGTTTATGGTACTGTTCCCACCTTCCCACTGCAGCAATGCTATGGGAGGCCTCTCATTCGTGAAGATCCAGCCAGCCCCTATCTGACAGAGGGAGATTCAGACTATTTGGGCAAGAGAACTGTTGAATGCTGAATTTATCTTCCCTGCCAATAAATTGCGCATCCTCTTTGGGCTGCACCTGCCCCCTACAGGAATAGAGGGGCCATTACAAGAGCATCTAAACCAGCCTCTGCTATACAGGTAGTGCTTGACTTACAGAAATTCGTTTAGTGACTGTTAGAAGTTAGAACAGTGCTGAAAAAAAGTGACTTAGGACTGTTTTCCTTTGAATGGTCACTAAATGAACTGTTGTAAATCAAGGACTACCTGTGCCCTTTAACACTTTAACAAAAACATCAAAGCCTGCCCATCTCATTCCATGCGGTGATGCAGTTCGTTTTTCCCTTTTCCATTAAAAACAGTTTAAAAGAGTTTATTGAAATCCACGGGCTAGGAATTGGGGAGTCCAATCAGTGGTGGTATGCTACCTGGTTTGGACTGTTTTGGTCGAATTGGTAGTTAAGAAAAAGCCCACGATCAGCTGAGAGGAGCAAAAAAAAATCATCCGACCATCAGCTGAGAGGAAAACGAAGAGAAAAGCACAGGATTTCACATTGATTGTTTTTTCTATCAGGGCAACCTGGTCTAACCCAAAATATGGGAGCGGAGGATACCGCTTTCGCTTTTGCCTTTCAGCCCCAGTCCGGAAACCTTCTCAGGCAGTCACTTCTGTGACAAACTATTTTTCGTGTTGAATTTATATTTACTGACAAAGAAATAAAGAGAGACGAGTACAGATCTATGTCAAGCTATTTAGCTCTCGTCAGCAAGCCATACTCTTCTGGGATTTGAACCCGGGGTACTTATATATTACGTAAATGTATTAACCTCCAAGCCACAGGTTCTCCTCGCTTTGTTGGCTATACCAGGGGAGAGATTAAATGTTTTTTTCTATCAGGGCAAATTTGGGGTGGGGCATATTGCTTCTGCTTTTGCCTTTCAGCCCCAATCCAAAAGCCTTCGCAGGCAGTCATTTTCATGACAAACTATTTTGTTTTATAATTATAATTCTTTATTGGCCAAGTGTGATTGGACATACAAGGAATTTGTCTTGGTGTAAATGCTCTCGGTGTACATAAAAAGAAAAGATACATTCGTCAAGAGTCAATAATCATCAGGTACAACACTTAATGATAGTCATAGGGTACAATAAGTAATCAAATCGTACTAGGAAACAGTCAACATAGATCATAAGGATACAAGCGACAAAGTTACAGTCATACAGTCACAAATGGGAGGATATGGGCGATAAGGAGTGATGAGAAGATTAATAGTAATAGTAGTGCAGACTTTGTAAATAGTTGAACAGTGTTGAGGGAATTATTTGTTTAGCAGAGTGATGGCGTTCAGGGAAAAAACTGTTCTTGTGCCGAGTTGTTCTTGTGTGCAGTGCTCTATAGTGTCGTTTTGAGGGTAGGAGTTGAAACAGTTTATCTCCAGAATGTGAGGGGTCTATAGATATTTTCACAGCCCTCTTTTTGACTCATGCAGTATACAGGTCCTCTATTGAAGGCAGGTTGGTAGTAATTGTTTTTTTCTGCAGTCCTAATTACTCTCTATAGTCTGTATATGTCTTGTTGGGTTGCAGTACCAAACCAGACAGTTATAGAGGTCCAGATGATAGACTCAATAATTCCTCTGTAGAATTGAATCAGCAGCTCCTTGGGCAGTTTGAGCTTTCTGAGTTGGCGCAGAAAGAACATTGAACATTCTTTGTTGTGCTTTTTTGATGACATTTTTGATGTTAGGTGTCCATTTTAGTTCATGTGATATAATAAAACCTAGAAATTTGAAGGTCTCTACTGTTGATACTGTGTTGTCTAGTATTGTAAGAGGTGGTAGTATGGGAGGGTTTCTTCTGAAGTCTACCACCATTTCTACATTTATACTTACCAACAAAGAAATAAAGGGAGACTAATCTAGATCTAGACTAGTCTCCCTTTATTTCTTTGTTGGTAAATATGAATTTAACACATTCCACATTGATCTATATCATATAACAATCCATGACTACAGTGAGCACAAGAGGTGTTGCTTTTTATGAAATATGGCTTTTTTTTCTTCCAGAAATGATTTCATGTTATGATTTTATTCAATCTCAGGCGGCATCTGGCAGCACCTTTTCCAGCTATCACCTTTGATTAAAAGGCGTCAACTTTCCCGAGGTGCAGTTCAGAAAAACCAACGTGTTTTAATCAAATGAATTTGTTGAAGGTGCTGGCAGATCAGGGATTTTTGTGGGGGTCCTACAAACCAGTGTTTTTCAACCTCCACAAAAACCTGGGTGATGATGGGCTTGGGAATGTATGTTTGTACACATATATATTTCTTTCACAGCCCATCACTGGCTGTTTCCTGAACAGCAAAATAACTCAACATAGCATGTTGCATCTTCGTTCCTAGCAGCCTTGAATCCTGCTTTTCTGCAGTAGCAGGACTTGCATTCTCCAGCCTCATCTGCAAACTTAACAAATTTAAGAGGTGTGGACTTCCAACTCCCAGAAATCCCCAGCCAGGAGGCTGGGGGATTCTGGGAGTTAAAGTCCACTCCTCTTAAAGTTTGCAAAAGAGGCCAAGTTTGAAAGCGCTTGCTAAGTTTGAAAAACATCGGGCTAAACCAGGGCTAAAGAAATCTCGGGATAGTTTAACACCACTTGCATTTGAAATTATTTTACAAAACGAGATCAAGTCTTTCTCCTCTCATAGAGATAGGGAAGACAAACGACTGGTTTGTATTGCATTCATTTCCGTGGCCGATGCGAAATATGCAACGTAAGTGGAAGGCACAGCCCGGCTGCCCTCAAAGCACTGAAGGGGAGAACTGCTTGGGGAATCTCCTTCAGGTAGAAGTAGCCACATAAACCCCTGCAGAATTTCATACAATGCTTCCAATACGACCAATGCTTCCCCTTAGATTCCCCCCCACCCCTTGCCCCGCAAGGTCCGTTGGGTACCGCTAGTGTTTTTTCTCTTTGCAGACCTACGAACGAACCTCTTTGGAATCAGAGCAGCCCGCCGCGTAAGAGGTGGCAAGAAAGCTGCTTGCCCGCCACAAAAATGGCGCCAGTGACACGTAGCGTCATCAGTCGCGACTGTGACGCAAAGGCATTGCTATGACAACGGAAAAGACGCCGTTGGTGAGTTGGGAAGCGGGTAGATCGCATGTTGCGGATGCCGGTAGCCGCCTCGGACGCCTCTCTTCCTCCAGCAAGGCAGGACGGGGGCAGCAGTGGAAGCTGCACCCCCCCACCCCAGTCGAGCTTCTGTTCCAGTGACCCTTTCTGGACTCATTGAGTAAAGGCGGAGTAAAGCTGGAGTAAAGGCGGAGTAAAGCTGGAGTAGAGGCGGAGTAGAAGAATCCCTTGTCAGTGCCTGCAGGAACCCGCAAACAAAGCAACCTGGGGACCAGTTGAGCTTCATTGGGGAGATCCAACCACAATTCCCCATTGTAAGGTCTACGTCTTGGCTTGAGGGGGGCTGTTGGAAGCCCCATGCTTTTAAGATCAGGGTCTTCATTCCAGCCTCCTACGGCACTTTGGGAGCAGAGGAGCCTGGCTTTGTTAGGCTGAGAATGAGATGGGACCGATTGGCCAGGTTAACATAGAGTTTAACTGTGGTTTGTTGCATCAACCGCAGTTGGTTGGATGCCCAGGGTACCAAAACCATACCTGAGTAGCCCCAAGGCCCCTTCTCTTGAGTTAAGGTTTTTTTTTTTTAATCTCTTTTTAATTCCTTCTTTTTATAGTGAGTCACAGAAGGTCACTCTGCGAATTGGGCAGCCGTTTAAGAAATAAATAAATACAATGAATAAATTGCTAGCTTAAATGACTTCCATTTTTACAATATTCTAAGCTGCAGCCAGGCGAACCGTAGTATAGGATAGAGTAAGAACCCAGCAGTCATGGCTTGGTTGTTAAAACTATGGTTTGAAAGTCATAGTTGATTACGAGGAATGAATCGTGCAGAAATTAAATAATGTACTGTAATGTGCAGTCCCTCCTTGAGTTAGGTGGATGGTCATCTAGAAATGGATGGACAGACAGATAGGTTAGAGAAACAGTGATAGATAAATAGGAGAAATAGAGAGATAGAGATTGTAGATTAGATGGATTGGATTGATGGATGGATGGATGGATGGATGGATGATGAGTGAGTAAGTGGGTGGATGGAGTGTTCTCCATGTGTTGGATGGAGGAAAGTCAAGTGATCAATAAACAAGTCTTCATTATCATTATTTACTCCTTGTCTTCTCCTTAGGTTGTAGCTACCTTTCTATACTAAGGGATCCTTCCTTCTCATGGCTGGTTCACCTTCCTTTCCCATTGAGCCACCAGGCAAAACAGTCAGTATCACTCTGCTGGAGGCCCATGACTTGGTAATTGTCCTCTTTCACTTCATGCTGGAATTCCTGGCTGGAGGATCATTAGAGTGGATCTCCTGCCTGTATGACTACCATCCCATCATGTTCAGGGGTTTTTAATCAGAAAGATTAAACGGCATAATATCTTAATAATTGACCCAGATATTAATATCTTATTTACCAAGTTATTTAAAAGCTGGTTATTAGTGGGTTCTGGATTTATTTGCTTTGAGATTACTGGTCCGTCTGTAAATTTGTTTGGGATGCTGTTGATTACCTTATAGGAAGAAGAAACATTAAATTGCTTGAAAGAAGCTGCTTTATTATTATTATTATTATTATTATTATTATTATTATTATTATTAGTAGTAGTAGTAGTAGTAGTATTAGTATTGTTAGTATTGTTAGTATTATTAGTATTATTATAAAAGCATTTTGCAGGTTTTATTTAATAGCTCTGAGATTTTACCCAAGCTGGTTGGGTCAATCCAAGATCAAGGGGAAAAAAAGAGAGAGGGTGGGAGGGAGAGTGGGGAAGGGAAAGGGAGAAGGAAGAGGAGAAAGAGAAGAAATTAGTTTTGCTCTGGGAGGTGATGCTACCCTTTGCCCTGTCCTCAGTAATGTGGTCTCCATTCTCTAGAAAGGCCTCAAGGGAGAGAGTCCGGTTACCTTTGTGCGCATCGAGTACAATGGCTTCATCCTTTGTGACTCCCCCAAAATGGACGCCTCTGCGGAAGGAAGCGTGAAGTATAATTTCACCACCTCCTTTGACACCCACCCTGAAGGCTTCCACACTTTGGATGATATTGCCCAGAAACCTGTGATATGTGAGTAAAACGACCTCTGCCTTTTTTTTTTAGCTTTAACCGCTGGGAAAGAATAGGTGCAGGTAGTTACAACAGTTCCATTTAGTGACACTTCAGAGTTACAACGGCACTGGAAAAAAATGACTCAAGACCATTTGTCCCATGGATGACCATTGGAGCCTCCTCATGGTCATGTGATCAAAGTTCACCTTCTTGGGAACTCACATTTAGGACCATTGCAGGGTTCCCGGGGTTTTCTCCCGAAAAGCAGAATCAACGGGGAAGCCAGATTCACCTAACAACCGTATTACTAAATTAACAAGGAGAGCAATTCAGTTGGCAACGGTGGCAAGAAAGGTTGTAAAATGGAGCAAAATTCACTTAACAATTGTCTCACTTAGCAACAAAAAATTTGGGCTGAATTGTGGTCGTATGTCGGCTCTCTGTAGTTCTCGACTTGCAACCCAATCGTTCAGTGACTGAAGTTATGACAGAACTGAACAAAGTGGCGCATAACCGTTTCCCACCCTTACGACCATTTAGGCATCTCCATGATCACGTGATCAAAATCCGTCCGCTTTGCAACAGCCGTGTACTTCTGACGGTTGCACCCTGCCGTGGTCATGTGATCACCCTTGGTAACCTTCCCAGCAGGCTTCCGACAAGCAGAATCAACGGGAGAAGTCAGGTTCGGTTTACGACCATGTCATCCACTTAACAACTGCCGTGATTCTCATAGCAACTGCAGGGGGAAAAAGAGCGCAAATGGGGCTAAACTCATGTAACAACTGCCTTGCTTAGCGACGGAAGTTTGGGACTCAATTCTGGTCGTACGTTGAGGTCTTCCTTTCAGGTTTGCTCAGCCATTTGGAGGAGGTAAAAACCTCTTTGGCGGGCGATGTGTTCAAGTGGAGGCTTGTTGGATCTTGTTAGAGATGCTCCTGTTTGGATTTGTACGCTGAGAAGATTCAAGGCCCGCTGGAACTCTGGCATTTTAAGTCTAGCTCAATAAAATTAAGGTCATACAGGTAGTTCTCTTGACTTACGACTGGTTCGAAGTTAGGACCGATCCAAAACAAGGGGGGCTTATGACCCAGACTTGAAGATCCGATAGTTGGATCCCCTCCGTATTCACAAGACTGAACTTCCGGGGCTCAGCAACATGCTGCTTTTATGGCCATTTCTAGTATCTTGAGACGGCATTTCACAACGGTTTTGCTGGAAACCGGCACATCCATTTTCTGGCAAGATTGTGCCCATAGCAGGCCATTGTTTTTGCTTTATGACCACTTCAAAAAACATTGTAAAATCGTGCTGATCAGGTGACTGGCGTGTGTTTTATGCCCATTGCGACATACAGTTATCATGGTTAGGCTCCCTTATGTAGAGAGTAACCGGTAAGTGCTTTGCATTCAAACATTACAGACAGCCTTCATGCAGGATGTGTGCAGCAATTGTAGCTTATTCAACAAAGGCTTGTTAAAACAAATTGTGGCATGCCGCAATGGTTGAATGACAGGAGTGAGTAGCGAAGTGGCTATAACTCTTTCTGAAAAGCAATCAGGCTGTAAAGTGATATAGATATAATTTTATGCTTGGTTTTCCCAGTCACGGTGATTGAAGTCCTACCAAAGGAGAAGAAGCAAAAAGATGAAAAAGTGGTGTCTCTAGGACAGGCCGTGGCAGATCTTCTCCCTCTCCTACAAGGTACGTGAAAGGATAAACCTGTGGTGGAATATAGTCTGGAATTGCAGAGAGCATAGAGATGGTGGAGGATGGATTGTCTGGTAGGCTGGAAGAGGACACAGATGGACCCTTCCTAGCATTTCACAGAGTGCATCTATAGTTATGCAGATAACTGCTTTAGTCCGGCAAGGTTCTGTCTCTCGGCAAACAGCAATAAAGAAGCTACTCAGAAATAGCTTCATGGTTCTTGGTTCTTTGGCCCTGACAAGCCAGAGTCAGTGTGTCAACAGGCCAACGTTTTTTGGTTCTTGCACAAAAGAAACCTGCATTGTACAGAAATGGACCTCTTCCAAGTAACTGTGTGTAGATCTTCAGCCCCCGCATCCTTGCTGTAATGATGCCCATTCTCTCACACTCATCTCTTTGATAACGGTAAGTATTTGATTTGGCTAATCATTTTTCTCTCTTCCAAAATGAAAGTTTTATCGATGGCCTCAGATTGCCCCAATGTCAGGCTTGTCCCAACTTGGACATTTAGGAAAGAAAGACACTCGGCTCCATTCTTTGAAGTGAAAGGTTCTTTTACTAAAGTCAAGCGGTAACAGCATAAGCAAAACCAGATCTGCATATTCCCACGCAAAGGCCACAGTTTTCCCATCTCTCTGGCCCTCCTCCCTTGACCAGTCCATCAGTGTCCAACAGTATCCGTCCTCAATGTTTTGGAAACGGTTTTGAGGTTTGGTGCCCCTTTGGTGGAGTTTCACATTCTGTTCCCATGACTCCATCCTGGTTCATTCCAGATTGACACCTCTGGTTTCTGTCACCCTGTCATCCCCACCTCCTATTTCCTTCCTTCCTTCCCAGTTTCCCCATTCTCCTCCCCTCTCCCCTGTGTTTTACGGCAGGATGCCAGCTAGGCAAAATATCCTGAAGATGGCAGACCTGACCTCCTCCCTCTTTTCTCTGCAGGATTGTGTATGTTCAACGCAACACTTCCTGTGTATCCATTGCCTGGTTCTCCTCTGGATACCCTCCATCCAGAAATCAAGGTATTTATTAAAACAACAACAACAACAACCAAGAGTACAGAGCAGGGGTGGGATTCTCCCAGTTCAGACCAGTTCTATAGAACCAGTTGTTATGATTCTGTGCAGGAGAACTGGAAAATCATGCCCCTGTCTGGCCCCGCCCCTCTCCGCCCAGTCAGTCCTTATTGGGCATGCGGGACATCGCGCGCATGCCCTACATCTCTGACTGCATTCTCCCCCTGCCAGTCACTCCTTAAGGTTTTTTTTCCTCCCAACGATCGGCTGTTCCACTAATCAGCTGTGCTGGGATCCCCCTCGCTGTCTTACTGCTTCGCCCAAGAGGCCTCCCTCAGGCCCAGGAGGCGCTCCATTTTTTGCCTTCCTGGGCCCGAATCACATGGCTGCACCCACCCAGTCATATGGCCATGCCCTCCTACCTAGCCACGCCCACAGAACAGATTGTTAAAAAATTTGAATCTCACCCCTGGTACAGAGACATGCTTCCCAATGGTAAACAGCCCTATCCCAGGCGGGACTCGGAAGGACTTTAGGTGGAACAGAAGGTAGATCATTGATGGTTGAATGAAATCTTCAACGTTCATTGTAAAAAAAATTAGTAGAGTGCTTAGAAATGTAATTTTCCCCAGTTTGTATATTTGCTACATCTTACCTTCAGTATGCTTTGATTTTGCAGTCTTCTATCGATATCCTAATATCTGTCCAGGAGAGCTTACTGACTCCAAATCAACTATCCGAAGGCAATCTGCTGAGAGTGACTGTAGAAGCTCTCTATTCTGCCCCTGATGCCTTTCTCTCCACCGGTCCCCAGTATAATTACATGGTTGGCTTTCAGGTGCCAGCAGTTGGTGAGGTGAGTTGACGAAATCTCAAGTTCTTTTATTGCTTTTTTTCCTCCAGGCCTGTTGTTTTTTTCCTTTTCCCTTTCGCTCTGCCTCTCTTCTGAGACCCGTCTGAGTTTATAAATGAAACTACTTTGACGGAGTTAATTAACTGAGATTCTCCAGATCCAGGTTTCATGCATGTATGGAAGAGATTAGCCCGGGTAGGAAACAGGAACTTTCTCTGAAGAAATAATTGTGTGGTCTCCATGCCAAAGTGATTTTTTTCCTAAGGTAGAGAGTAACCTAGAGCAACCTTCTTAAAAACCTGGAAGATTTCAAGAAGAGATCGGACAACCATTTTGTCTGAAATGATACAGGGTTTCCTTCCTAAGCAGGGGGTTGGACTAGAAGAGCTCCAAGGTCCCTTCCAACTATTCTATTCTATTCCATTCTATTCTATTCTTGCCTATTCCTGTTCTATTCTATTCTATTCTATTCTATTCTATTCTGTTCTATTCTTTCCTATTCCTATTCCTATTCTGTTCTATTCTATCCTATCCTATCCCATCCCATCCCATCCCATCCCATCCCATCCTATCCTATCCTATCCTATTCCTGTTCTGTTCTGTTCTTTCCTATTCCTGTTCTGTTCTATTCTATTCTATTCTATTCTGTTCTATTCTATTCTATTCTAAACCTTTGTTGTGTTAAATAAAGTCAAAAACTGGATCCATACATTGTGTTAACCATAATGGTTTAAGATGTGAACTCAGATATTATAGTTTGCGAACCCTGGTCAATTAATATTGCACAAAGCTGTGGCTTACTCAGAATCTGCATTCACGAAGAGCAGGGAAGAACCAGTGTGAAAATTTGCTTGTGATGCTAAAGTTACATTACATGTAAGCAGTTTCTCCATTTTCTTTGTAAAGACAGAAAAAAATGGAAACTTGCCTTACGTACCTAAGATTTAAAGCTCCCTGCAAATTAAAGAGCTGATATATAGGTTGGTTTCGTTGGTCCCCTTTCTGTAACTATTTTAGAGAATGTTTTCCAAGATGTGATTGTGTCCAATTTATTTTTCATCATGTACCATATAATGGCTGAGTTCACAGAAGATATTTAATTTAACCTGATTATAAATTAAGCACTTTCTGAGCTTCCATAACTCAATGTATAATGACTAACCAAACGGGTTGGTCCATGCAAGCACCGAGCAAAGCAAAAATTTGACGTCATGGATGAACGTGTTGTGAGAATGCAACAGCTATCTCTTTGTCGATGTATCAATGACTTGTTAACTTTTTGAATTCAAAACATTTCTCCTGGGACCTTTCCAGAAAGAATGCCCCTTCCTGTACAAGAATGGGACCCTGAAACTTGGCAGTGAGAGAGAACCTCTGCCTCGGCCCAAGAAGTGGCCAGTTGCCAACATTTTAGCCCCTGGAGGACAGAACATCCCAGATGCTTTCATTGTTGGCGGGGCCTTTGAGGAGGAAGATGGAGAACTGAATACCCCAGAGGTGAGTATGGCAGAGCTGAAGAAGCAGATTCCTTTGAACAAGCTTTGTGGGCCTCCAGATGTTGCTCAGCTACAATTCCCAGCTCTCTTCCCCTTTGGCGTTCTCAAGGAGAGTGTAGAACCAGCAATGTCCCAATTGCCACCTGTTCCATCCACCTGGGCCTGGAAGAACCACGGTACTAGATCCACCCAATGGCTTCTTTCTCCCTAGAGTCCTTTTCCTCTAGCAACCACGGATGAACATAGATTTGGGGTGATCATGATACCCATGCCATTGTGAGCTCCATTGGGCCAAATAGGCAATATCAGTTGATGGCTAGCTTCTTCCAAGGCCAGGTGCCCCCTGCTTCACCTTATTCCTCCATCAGAAGAAAGATTGTCCCTTCTATTGGTTGTTCTTTTTAGTTTTTCTATTTCGTGTTTTTTTTCCCCCCTAATCCATCAATAAATACTGGTTCTAGTCTATTTACTTGATCTCTTGATTCTAGTCCTGAACAGACTGGGTCATTTCCTCCTCCTCCTCCTCCTCCTCCTCCTCCTCCTCCTCCTCCTCCTCCTGTATCATGTTAATTTTTTCCCCCTAGTCCATCAACAAATACTGGTTCCAGTCTATTTACTGGGTCTCTTGAGTTCTAGATCTAAACAGACTGGGTCTTTTTCTTTTCCTTCTCCTCCTCTTCCTCCTCCTCCTCCTCCTTGCCTTCAAGTTGGTAAAAGCTACCTAGACGAGTCCCTGGGGTTTTCAAGGAATTGCCACCCAGCCAGCTTTGTGCCTAAGCCAAGACTGGGAATCCTGCCCTCTCTGTTTCAAGCCTTATACCCCACTCTCTCCTTTTCTTTTTAAGGACCGGGAAAGCAGGATTCAGGGTGAAACTATTAAGAAACGGATCGTGTGGGACTTGGAAAGGCGTTGCTACCTGGATCCTATAGCTGTGCTATGGTGAGAAAACTCACGTCATTCTCCAGCAATTCATAATTTAATGGGATGCTTTATGGGAGTCAAGCAATTAAGAGCAGAGAGCTGGAGATTTTACCTTCAATTCATACTCCTGGTTCACCTTCCCCAAGTTCTCTAAAGGAGGCTGACCTGGACTTGCTGTATGTTTATTAATGAGCTCCCTGAGCTAAAGCTCTGCATAAATATTAATAAGCCTCATTACAACAGACTTGCTTGTACTGGTATTTGTCATGCATTTTGCATATTTACTATTTGCTTCTCTGTCAAGAAACTCAACCGATTTATTTATTTATATCCCACCTTCGTTATTTTTATAAACAACACAAGGTGGCGAACATATATAAACACTCCTTCCTCCTCCTCCTATTTTCCCTACAACAACCTTGTCAGGTGAGTTCAGCTGAAGGAGAGGGACTGGCCTAAAGTCACCCAGCCAGTCTTTCAGGCCTAACACAGGACTAGAACTCCCAGTCTCCTGGTGATTGGCTCAAAAGTTAGGTTTTCTTTGAAAAAAAAAAAATCCAACCCAAGCATCTTTGTCATGATGGTCATTATTGTTGTTATTATCTTTCTATCCTGCCTTCCTTTTGTACCACTTAAGGTGGTACATATACGATGCTCCTGCCTCCTGTTTTCCCCGTGACAACTCCGAGAGGTGGATTAGGAATTTTTGCCATCCCTTTGTTCTTTGCATTTTTGGATGCTTCTGCTGGTTGTTTTATTATTATTATCCTTGAGATGGTGACATTATTTGATGGGTGGTGTCTGTTTTTTTCTTTTTCTTTTCTTTCAAGAATGGGCATTGGAATTTCATTTTAATGTGTGACATTGTGTACACAGAAAAATAAGAATAAAGCTTATCCTTTATCTTTTGTCCTTCATCCATATCCTTTTCATTATCTTTTTCCTTTATCCCTATCCATTATCCTTATTTTTTATCCTTATTCTTATTCTTTATCCTTTATCCATTATTCTTTATCCTTATCCTTATCCATTATCCTTTATCCTTATTCTTTATCAGTGATGGGATTCAAAATTTTTTACTACCGGTTCAGTGGGTCTGGCTTGGTGGGCGTAGCAGGGGAAAGATACTGTAAAATCCCCATTCCCTCTCCACCCCCCCTAACCTGCTTTCCAGCTCTGTTCTCCTGTACAGGGCAACCAAAGAAGACCCAGCAGATCAGCTGGGACTCGATGGGAGGCAGGGAATAGATGTGGGTGGGGCCAGTCAGAGGTGGCATTGGCCGATTCTCCGAACGACTCAAAATTTCCGCTACTGGTTCTCCAGAACTGGTCAGAACCTGCTGAATGTCACCTCTGTTCTTTATCCTTTATCCATCCTTTATCTTTATTCTTTATCATCTTATCTCATCTTATCAACATCTTGTCTTAATCTTATCTATCTTACGTTGTTGGCTTTGAACATCCAATTGGAAGCATATCAATGCTGACCATTTAATGCATACTGCATGTTCCCGCCTTTCCCATCCTTGTGGCGTTGGTACAAATGTACACACTGCCCTTTTGAGCATCAGACAACAAAACGATGGTAATCAGTTTGCTCTTGGTCCCTTCCCGCTTGACAGCTTTCGCAGGCGGATTGCCGACTGTCGGTGTTGGCCCGTGGAAATTACTAGAGTGCCACTGGTCACATCCACGAAAGTCAAAGCTGGCAAAGGAGACAAGGTAAGGTGCTAGTTTCATCATCGTCATCTTCATTGTTATCAGGATTCTGGCAGTTACTCCCAATTAAATCATGAGCCTCGAGCCACACTCCCCAAACTAAAGAGGATTTATTCGAAGCTACCATTCTACGTCAGGCACTAACCTGGGCATAGCCAACTCTGATACATAATTCACTGTCACCCTTGATCCTGCTTTTCCCCCCCACCCCTCTGAGTGTATCATCCAACGAAACATGTCCATAGCCAAGAGTCATCAATCATGCTCTCCAATTAGATTTTTGCGTGGCAGAAGCTTCAGTCATCTAATTAGTCATTGAAGAAAATATGAATGGAGTGTACTTTCGATTCCACACTGCCACCTGCTCTTTGAAACTCCCCCTCTTTCTTTCTGTTGTCAACTATAAAATGGGTATACAAAATGTTTTATATTGTTATATATATTTTTCCTTCGCAAAAAATATTTCATTGGCTCAAGACAGCAAACATAATATTCCTCCCTTCTATTTTTCTCACTGCAACAACCCTGTGAGGTGGGTTGGGATGAGAGGGAAGGACTGGCCCCAAATCACCCAGCTGCCTTTCATGGCTCGAGGTGGGACTAGAACTCACAGTCTCCTGGCGAGTGCGCAAAAAAAAAAGATCGTAAAATCAGTCACACAAGTGATCCGATATACGACCATTACGGGTTACGGCCGTGATGTGCAGACTCTATTAAGGCCATAAATCAATTACCTGTACAGGTAGCCCTTAACCTACGATTGAGCCTTACATGTATGTTGCTGAGTGAGAAGGTTGTTAAGTGAGCTTTACGACGTTTCCTGCCATCTTTGTTAAGCGAATCACTGCAGTTGTTAAATTGGCAACACGGTTGTTAAATGATTCCGGTTTCCCCATTTTACTTTGCCTGTCAGAAGGCCGCAAAAGGGGATCACGCTTGCAACCATCACAAATGTGAGTCAATTGCCAAGCATTGGAATGTAAATCACATGACCATGGGGGGTGCTGCAATGGTTGTAAGTGTGAAAAATGGTCCTAAGTCACTTTTTTTTCCAGTGTCGTAACTCCGAAGGTTCACTGAATGAACTGTAGCAAGCCGAGGACTATACTGTACTCCATTTCGGCTGCCGTGACTACCGCCGGGGAAGGTGACGGTTTCCGCTGTCCTCTTCTAGGGAGGTGGAGCAGTTGCTGGAGCAGAAGAAGATCCCATTTCCTTCCATGGTGTGGCTTACGTCAACTTAGTGCCTCTGCTGTATCCCGGGGTGAAGCGGATCCGGGGAGCGTTCCGCGTTCTTCCTTACCACGACAGTGAAGTCTTTGAAAAGGTAACGGCTTCCTTTGCGTGGCTGATCGGTCGAGTTTTCTCTTGCTTTCGATTTCGGTCGAGTTTCTCTTGCTTTCGATTTC